GGACTCGATGATCTATTGAGGTCCCTTCCGACCCTAACATCTATGAATTTATGTCAGACTAACCTGCGAAAATTGATTCAGCCTCTGGGTTTTTGACTGTCTGTACTTAGCCCCTGTGATTGTGTACTGTTGCTGGAGAGAGAGAGAGAGAATGGCTTGAAGGAAGAAAAGGATAACGGGACACAGACCTACAAGAACAAGTGAAGAAAGCTGGGGAGAAGAAATGCTGTCAACCCATATTAAAAAAAATACCCCTTCTGGCAGCAGCAACATTTGATTTTTCCCTTCTAAATGTAAATGCAGTTTTTTAAACTGCTAAGAAAAAAAAGCAGGTAGGGAAATTGGAGACTTCACGGAATCATTCTGTGCATTATACATCATTCAGCAGAGGGCTTTGTACACAGTAGACAAAGATAATAGACAAAGATAGCTTAGCCTATGCACCAACAATATTCTTCCCAAGAAATTAATTTAAAAGGGTTTATTTGTCACACTGGCTACACTAACTTAACACCATTAAGTCATCAATATGTAGCCACACATTTGCATTTTTTGGCTATCCAGTTATATTAGAGGATTTCTGGTATTTTCCACCCACTTTTCCTTCCCCTCAGCAATTCTGAGAACTTTAAACAAGATCTTATGGTTGAGCTCCAGTGTGGCTTCTCCACCGGAACCTTCCCTTTCTTGCGAGTCTCCCCAGCACTGCATCACAACCACAGCTCATAGAGAAAGCCCTTTCAAATTTGCTGTACAGCAAATTTGCAATTTATAGATTAAAATCTAGACAGCCTTAAAAGTCATAACACAGTTAGTGGCAATTTATTTTAAATTACTATCATTCTTATTTTCAGCTAAACCAAATTTTTTAAATCAGTCACTATCCCTAAAAAAGTGATGTAAACTCTTCAAATTTGATTGCAAAATTCTAACACAATTTATACCTTACCAAATACACTGAATGTAAGAAAACAGAAATGCAGCCAAACAGGATACATAAAACTTCAGGGTGGTGTCCTTTACACAGCTGGCCCAATATAAAACCTAAGGACAGGCCTCTACATAGAAAGCTGGAAATAATGGAAGCTGAAAGTGAAAGCATAGTAGAAAGACATCTGCTTCCATCTGAATTTCTCCAGAAAGAATCCCAGCAGCCTGATTCACCTAGGGCAATTTACTGTCTCCAACAGAAAAGCTTAGGAGATGCAGGAAAAAAGAAAACTCAGATGATCCAGGAGCACTGATGTGTTACAGGAGGTGTCTCAAGGGCTGTATATTTTGGATACTCTCTTCTCCCACTTTAGACAATCACAGGTATCTGTGAAGAAAGGAGCTCACTTTCCATGCAGGAGTTAGAACTCTGCTCCTTAAAATGCATGCAGGGAGAGCCCAGTACAGGTATGTTTCCTGATCATACTCATAGGCAGCCTGCTCTTGACCATCCTGGCACCCACCTGTTTCTCTGCCAGCAGCCATACATCCATTGGCAGGGTCACCTTGCAGCTACACAACAGCACCCCTGAAGAGGATGAAGGAGATGCAATGCAGCTATGCTTGAACAAAATAGAACACTTATGTTCCTGCATTTTGTGCATGTCAGCCCCCTTCCCATCTCCCCTCATAACATCCCCTTTTCGTCTTATCCCTTGATTGTAATGGAAACTGACAGTCCCTTGCTGCATTTGCTAGATTTCAAGGACAAGATGTTACACCACAGTAAGTTTTCTAATCACAGCCTTTATCCATAAATTAATTGGAAATATAGTCTCTTGCCATACAGAAAGCTGAAGACATTTAACTAAAATGTACAGTTGTTATACTGACAGGTAGTGTTGACATGCGTGTTGATGTGCTTCATCATCCTCTCGCAAATTGTTACAAAATTATTGGCTAGAAGTAATTGTTTTTCAACATGATAGCTGTCTGAAATCTAATACTGGAACTGAATTGCTGTACAAGCTATGGTAACACAGATTTCCTGTAAGAGCACAGTTATTCTGCTTCACTGTTAAATCCCTTATCACAAGGTAAACCTCGCAAAAAGGGCAGTCTAGCATACAACAGAGGACCAGGCAGCCTGTTTTCCTGCTATGACAGGTGCAGATTTGAAGTCTCTGGGTTTATAGTGCAAATTATGTGTAGACACTTGCACATGCAGCACTCCAGGGTGCTGTGGTGCTCCAATTGAGAATCACTGCATTAAGAGTTCCTAGAGTAAATAAAATGTTAATGCACTGACCCTTTCATTATGATAGAACTCCATACTTGTGGTAGTAGCATGATGATGGTGAAGAAAAAATCTCTCTTCATCCCTCAAGCAGGGTTAAAGGGAAAAAAAAAAAAAAAAGGATACCCTTACTCACTACACAGAAAATTTAGCTGGGACTTGCATGGTAAAT